CCCTTTATAACATTAAAAATTACTATTTTTTTCGTTTCCGCACTCTTACTTAAATTTGCCTCATTTAAAGTTTATACAACTCGTACAATGCTTGCACAATGCTCAGATTTTTCGTTCCTGAACTCTTACGGTTAATGTGGACCCTATGGCAAAAATGTCTGTGTTTACACCACAAAATTGACTGAGAGCAGAAAAACCTGTGCATCTGGAAAAATTTGAAGGCATAGCATGCCCCAGATCAAAAACTTGACTGGATTTTGCTGTCCACTTTTTTCATTCGAGATTGTTTTTTTCCTATCAATATGATTGTGATGTGGTGACAGAACAAACAAGAGTTCAATATGGGTTGGAAAAACCAGTGTCATGGTGTGAGGGTTCGAGGGGTTCGGACAGAAGACATTCTGGCTATATATATATGGGTCTGAGCGCAACTATTGTAAACTGAATGTGCGACTCTTTCCATGTATGATGCATCGTATTCAGCTATTTTCCTATAACACATGAATTTGCTTTCCTATTCCATTTTGTTAAATTTTTACACCCGGACGTACGCCCCTCTTCATTATGAGTTTTACTTCCCACTTGACCATATTTCTATATCCTATTCATCCCTTTGGTTTCATTAAAGTTAATTAAAGAATAGAATATACATCTATTGCTATACTGCAGTTCTTAGGGGACGACCATTTGATATATTGGGGGACGCCAGGAGGATTTTTTGCGGATGGTCTTCATTTTCATCACTTAAGCATGCTTTTTATTTTCTGCTGCTTTGTCGCGCAAAAATATGACTTTTTTATTTCCTGCATTTAGTGTTGCATAATATTCATTTTCATCATATCTGGGCACAACTATTCATTTTCAGCTCTTACCAGGCCAGGATATTTATTTTCAACTTGAAATCCCCTCACCCCCCGTCCCACCCCACCCTCGAAAAACAAATGGTCGTCAAGTTAGGTGATTACGATCATAGAATTTTGTAAATGATAAATATGACTTTTTTTAATACAGATCAAACTGAACCATATCATTTCTATTCAAGTAATGTGGTAAAAAATAACAAATCAACATAGTCGCAACCCAAAATGTTGTTTTGTTTACTCAATCGCTCAATTATATAAATGTTGACAAATATGTGTTTGTATGTTTATGTAAAGCCAATTTGTATTGTCAAATTTGGTATCAATCCTGTAATTTTGGATTTTAAACCAGTAAAATATCTTATCTATCTCAATTCAAGTTGGCGACGTGTTTGGTCTATTATGACATTTGTAAATAGCTCCTCTCCTAACAATTGGAGGATTTCGAGAGAGAATCGACTAACATAAAAGTGTAAACTCTTTTTATTCCAGTACATCTAAATGAAACTATACAATGTACATAAGAATTATCTGCATCAAATGACTGTTTGTCCGGGCATCAGATGACTGTTCGTCCGGGCATCAGATGACTGTTCGTCGGGCATCAAATGAATGTTCGTCATTGTCCCACTCACAGGATTGATCGTCATACGATTGGGCAACATTAATTTCTCTAATGTTTTTACCTTTTTAAATTTCAAGTTTAGAATAAAGGCAAAATCGGTTTCTCTACTCTAAATATTGGTTCTGTGGGTTTTACTGTTGGTTCTGTGGGTTTTACTGTTGGCTCTGTGGGTTTTACTGTTGGTTCTGTTGGTTTTACTGTTGGCTCTGTAGGTTTAACTGTTAGTTCTGTGGGGTTTACTGTTGGTTCTGTGGGTTTTACTGTTGGATGTAGAACATATTTGGTTTTGTCTACTATTGTCGATTGAGTGACTCGCGGTGTTGATATATATTTCTTCAAATTACTAGAATGTTCCGTTTGTGTATCAGTCTTTCTGAGAATCGTACATCCTCTCTTCAAATATGACGGGACAAAATCAAAAACCCTTTGAAATGTATCCTTAAGGAAGGATTTGATATGTCTTTCATACGGAAGTCGTTTGGATTTTATGTATATTTCATTTTCAAATGGTAGACAATTTATCTGCCAAACTGAAAAGAAAATGTAAAATAAAACATATTTTAGACATCCATAACATCTAGCATTTAATGTATAATTAGAATTTGTCGTTGATGGTAAATCTTAAGATAGTCCGTCTGAAAAAATACATTCGTAAATTACATAAACAAGGTGCGATTTAGAGTTCCATATATGTAAGGTATGACACTTGTTTGTTGCTGAAAATATTTGTACCGGAATTTTTAGGTAAGATTTTTTTTATAAGCAGATTTTGTTCATGAAAAAACCCAAGACCATTTCATTTATTAAATGGTTTGTGAATTGCGAAAAAAGTTTCACTGACGAACCATATACTCGGAAAATTAACTTTTATACTTGTATTCACAATAAAACACAAATTAAAAATTTATATTTCATATCGCATTCTTAATTCTTTAGAGGAGTACAATTCATGTGTGTGCTTCAGGAGTATACTGTGTGTGTCAACATATAGACTGATTGATCGGTAGATATTTCATATCAAACTGCAGCTTGATTTAAGATAACATGTACAACAAATTATAGTACAAATACGCAGTATACAATATGTGTGCCATATCATTTTTAATTACACCTTATGTAAGAATCCTGGGTTTTGATTGGTTGATAGCCAGTGTATTTTTCACCAATTTACTGTTATCAAATGAATATCGTTCATTTTTTAACGCCGCCGGGGTATATGCAAAAAGGTTATGCCTTTTTTACCCTCTCTGCCATGGTATTTGCCAAAAAATACTCTATCCGACTGGACGCTTGTAACGTCACGATCATCAATGCGTTTTTGAACTTTAACATTCGGTGTAATTAAACAGATATAGCATGTTCTTGAGGGGTATTTGCGAAAAATACCAGTCTTGAGAATGTATTTCCCTCGACTTACGGCTCGCGAAATTTAACATTCTCCCGACTGGTATTTTTCGCAAATACCCCTCCTTAACATGATATATCTGTTCAAAAAACACCTGTCGCTTTTTCCTTAAAAATACAGATTTGTTTTCAAGCTAGTATTCCCAAATAATTTGTTTAAAGCCATTATAATCTAACACTATTTAAATCGAAACAATGGTCCTGTTCTCAAATAATAATAATTTTTTTAACAACCTACCACTTAATACAAAAATAAGATCCCGTCAACTTGAAGTTCATTTTACTATTTAAAATTTAAAAAGCATGTTTTCTGTGTAAATGAGAATTTTGTGTAATGTAATGGTTTAGTTATGTACAAGTCATGATATAACAGAGGATACTAAGTAACTTGTCAAATAATAAATTAAGCGTAAGATATATCAAAATATATAACTACATCGGTTTAACTTTGATCATTACAATGATTATTTATATAAACTTGTTAAGTATGTAAAATTGTACGGTTAATTTAACTTTGTTAGAATAGGCGAGATAAGTCATTCATGCATATTACGATGAAAATGAATATAAGTAAGGTGAATCAAAGTTGTTATAAAATACACGAATATTATTCATATAAAGAAGTCAAACTTGTCAATATCTATTAAATTATACTGAAAAAACATTCGAGTAATATTTATTACAAAAAGAGGGGTATCGGTGGCCCACTGGTCTAAAGTAGTTCATCTACTGGTATCAATAGCCTGTCAACACTGAAGTTTTGAGTTGTAACTTTGGACGTGGCCGGTGCGTTCGACTCCAATCTCAATTGACTAGAATTGCCAGTTTTCCTGCCGAAGGTCGGTGGTTCTCTCCGGAAACGACGGCTTCCTCTACCAATAAAAACTGGCCGCCACGAAATAGCCAATAGTGCTTGAAGTGGTGTTAAACACTAAATAATCAAAATTAATCAATTTAACAAAAGGAAATGTGAAATACTTTCATAAAGTCACAATGAAATACAAGGGATATCAATAATTCTCTAGTAATTATTATAGACATATCGTCGTGTGAGTATTATAATGATCTGTAAGTCCCATTGTATACGTCCGTTTACGGGACGTATTATGGTATTCCGTCTGTCCGTCCGTCCGTCCGTCCGTCGTAAACATGTCGGGACAATAACTCAAAAACGCTTTAACCAATTTGCATGAAACTTTGGTGAATTGTTTATTTATGACTTAGCTCCCTTTCGATTTTTATAAATTTTAGATTTTACGTTTCCGAGTTATGGGATTTTATTCATAAAAAGGGGGGTTTTAAAAAGGGGGTTTTTCCAGTTTTCGGACAATAACTCAAAAGTGCTTTGAGCAGTTTTCGTGAAACTTTGGTGACTGATTTATATCTATTAAAATAACCTCCCTTTATTTTTTTTTATAAATTTCTGATATGACATTGAGGAGTTATGGAACTTTATTCGTTGAAAAAGAGACGGGCGTATCATGCGCGCTCTTTATTTTAAATGCTGGGAAATTGAACATGAAGTTTAAAAACGCAATGTCATAAATATTTGACTGAGATGTAGAAAGTTCTATAGGAATCGAATTCATGGACAGTAATTCTTTGTTCAATTGTTTTTTAATGGACCAATACTTCAAATAAAGCACATGTTTTCCTGGAAATAGAACACTACACGACAAATAATGTTTTGGAAATTAATCTCTATATTTCTATTGGAGATATATAGATCGTGAATTTTTCAATTTTGAAACCCCCAATTCTGTAATGCTTATTTTGCTGAGAGTTCAAACCATGCAATCAATTTAAGCATAGTACCAAGACAATTTTAATAAATATTTTACTGCAAAAATTCTACATTTTTATCAAAATTGGACAGAACATTATACAGGACTCGCACGACGAAATACCTTGCCCGAATGCGATACCCTCTGTTTTGTATTCTGAATTGGCTTTACTGGTCGATTACCCTCAATGTTTTGAATAAGCAATATATGCATAAATCTTTTTCTGTTTGCTTTTTTTTTTAAATATATGAGAGTTAAGATCTGCTTATTGTGTTTTGTATTTTGTTTTAATTTGTTTGCTAATGCTGTGGATTTTTTTTATTTCAGATTTACAATATGAAAACTGGTGTTGCTGCTCTCCTTTTGCTTGTTTGCCTTTCCGGTAAGATATTTTATGCTTTTTGTTAATAAATATTTGGTGTCAAATAATTGGCAGTTTCTTTGAAATTCATCCACGACCTGTCTATACCAAGAGCGATTTAGAGATTACAATAACTCTTGACAATTATTGTCTATCAGAGAACCCACACGGTGATATCTAGATGTGTATTATGCTGTGTTGTTGTGTTGCTGTCTCGTTTATGTTAAAGCCAAATAATCTTTGATTCATCGTTATGATTGTCAACAATCAGCAAGAAAAGACGTGACGTGGAGTAGCAAGTTTTAACATAATCCCGTTTGGAATCTGTGTCCGGAGAGATTTTCTGATTCCTTATCAAGCCCTATTAAGTCTATTCGGGAAAATGTTTTCCCAACTACCTCACCTCGAACCGCTGCCGTTTACGCCTACAGTACCATTCCTTTTTTGATAGTTCTTCAAATGTCCGGTGATTTCGCGCATGCCTTCTGCAAATAGCTAATTTTGAATACAGGAATGATTATTGTTCAGTTTGAACCAAACAGACTGCCAACGAAGGGAGCAAAATATATTGGATTTTGATAAAAATTTGACTTCAAATGAAACCAATTTTATCTGTAATTTTTTTTTATGGAAATGGCTAATTATGGGATTGCAGTTATAAATTTATGCTTGAACTTATCAATTTTAATCTTTTTTGTCCCTTCGGAAGACTAAAACAATTACAAGAACGATTCTATTTGTGTTGCATTGCGGACAATTATGACGAAATCGGTTAATGCGCAATACCACCGGCCGCGCGGACACGGGGTTGGGGGGTGGGGGTTTTGTTTATTCCACAGTACGCTTATTATGTGGATTATATAGATATTTGTTTCAACACATTTGCCTAAAACACATGGAATAACCAAATCACATGACGCGCTATTTATAACCTTACATTGGAAAGCGGCCAAGTAAGCAATGGTGAAGATTCACTCATGGATATTACAGTTTTGAAATGTATGTCTTGCTTTTATATGGACCTTATTTCTTTAGTGCTGATTTATTGTCAATGTTCATGTATATTATTTCAGGTTTGATGATTGATCAAACAGAAGGAAAGTCATACAGATGTAGTTGGGGAGGTTGTCCGTGGAATTTATCCTGTCACCTGTGTTGTAAACACTTGAGAAAGGACTGTGGTAGTGGACGGTGTACCGGGGGCTGGTTTAAGCACACATGCGAATGTACTGGTTGCAATTAAGGTAAAAGATTCAAAAACGAAAAAATTATATTCGAAACTACTTATTTTTGCAGAAATTGACACTATACTTCCGGAAACCCATTTCAATTTTTCAATGTGTTGATGTATTTATCTTGAATACAGATAATTTCATTGTACTTTTTTCTAGCGTTTGAAGGCATCACCTATCATGGGAAAACACAAGTCCACCTCCAAATAGATTACCTTTTTGTAGAAACATCTACATATATTTTTTTTATGGAAGGGACAAATCATACTCTGAAAAATACGTTGATACAAAGCTTTCAGGACCGCACATCAAAAACTCGAATATATAAGGGTTATAGTTAAGTACACCGGACTCGCATTTAGTCTACATACGGCATACTAATGGCGCTCGAATCAAAACACAAAACAGAAGGCACAATCAAATGCGAGCATTAATTACCAGAAAAGTTATGTCGTATACGGCTAAGGTATTCTTCATTAGGGAATAGGAAAACCTTGTTATTCGAATAATTCAAATTTGATAAGCAGTAAATTTCCAGAAAATAACTTTTCAGTTGTATTTTATGTCAACACAAACTTGCTAACTGTCGGGTTGGTAATATCATCGACCCACTATACTGGTTGTTAAAACTCGGTAAAGATGCCAGTCTTCACAAGACTTGTCATTGGCGCACGAATCAAAACTGTATGAATGCATGCGAAGTCCTAGTTTTTTTATTGACCCCATACCGTTTAGACGTGTTTTAAATAAGTCGGTATTACTTTGGGGACTATCTGTTTAGCTGCTCTTCGACTTGTCACTTCAACCTGTCCCTTCAACCATAGGATGCAGAACTCCCAAGGACTTCCTAGACTTATTGATTTTCATTGCCACTGTATCGCATTTAAGATTCAATTTAAATTACTGTCAGATTCTTCATATTTAGACTTTCTATACAAGCTCAATAATACACTTTGAAGAGATCCTTAGTGTTGAAATGAGAAAGTTCAAACGAACCATCTGATTTTTGTACAAACCATGTACCACAAGCAATGAACTAGCTTAATCTGCACGAGACTGCGAATTGCTGATGAATATTTTCTTTTGTAGATGAGAATGGCAATGCAAGATGCTCAAAGATAACTGAATGTTTTACTGCCAAGCCAGAACACCTCATCAGTTGTAATAAAGTCGGATCATCTCACCTCATCAGTTGTTAACTTCTGTTATTCTTTCTTTGTTATACAAATAAAAAAGTTACAACTAAACACGATTATTCCTTAATTTAGTCCCTCAAATGACAAGTGTTGATTTTTTTTATCCACATCAATTATATTTTTTTAATTTCATTTGTTGGGATTGCTTAGAATTATGTACAATAATAAAAGTTGTCCAGTAGCCATCGTCTCTGTGTGATACAAAAGATGAGAACGGGGTTCGCCAAAATTTACTGCAAATTATAACCGACAACATTAACCACCCAACACCCGACTCTCCAAAAAACATACAAAGACCACGTTCGTGGTTTAGATATTTTGACTTGGTACATGGACAAAATGTGTCGAGGATAAACTAGTTTTACACGCAAACTAAACTTCCTCTGCCTACCAAGACCAAATATTGAAAACTAAATCGCGCACTCAAGTCTGCACCGTGCAGCTACAAGAGGACCGTTAAATTGAAAAAGAAATAAACAAAAAAAAACGGCACATCGTCTTATCACGCCTGAAGTCCTGCACGTTGACAGTTTTTTTGAAATTTCCCCAGTTTGAATTCATCGTTTTTCAGTTTGTTCCAGTTAAGTTTAAGTCGAGAGACATTGCTGATTTAAACCTTTGATACAAATTTGATAAAAATCTGGCTAAAATTGTACTCGCGAGAGCGCTGAAAATGCAATTTTTCATAAAATCAATATTTCCAAGGGTATTTTTCTCTTAAGAATAATTGATCAGCACTGATTTTCGAAGTTGTTAGACATTGGTGATAAAAACCTGATAAGTTTCATAAAAATCCTGCAATTATATTTTTCCATATAATTAATATTTCAAAGGGCATAACTCTTTTAAAAATAGTTGATCGGCACTGATTTTTGAACTTGTCTGAGAGATTACTGATATTAACTTATGATACAAGTTTTATAAAAATCTGACGAGAATTGTACACGTGAGGGTACTAACAATACCGGACACACAACCGGTAGTTCTATGTTTCCCGCAACGAGTCGCGTGGCAGACAAAATGACAAGATGTCGGAATACATAAACATAAGGATGTATGATTGCCAATGAGACCACTACCAACCAGAGATCAAATAATGTGGATGTAAGCAAAAACATTTTACATTTCGTTTTTTTTTTTTTAAATTTGTTACTGATGAAAATGTCATTGCCATTTACTCAAACGTACCGAATGGATTTAAAACCCAAATTAATTGTTTTCATAACTTATTTTAGTGACGTACGAGTAGAATTCTATCTCCTATCAAGACTGCTTGTGTCAAAGAGTATTGAAATATATCCAAATTGGTAGACAGCAAGGTTTTAAAATAAAACAGTCTCATATATTAGGAAAGAAATAAAAGATTCAGGGTTAATAATAGACGAATGACAAAACCGCTCGTAAACTCGCAAGGTGGTCATGTTAGTGCTCGAACATAGGTCCGTCGACTTCATAGAGGCTACCTAAGAGCACGTCGTGTTGTCAAGAGACCTGCCCTAACAGCCAGGCACCGTATAATCAGGTTTCAAAGGGCTAATTACCATCGACGCTGGAACTTGAGGAGCTGGCAAAATGTTCATTGGTCAAATGAGAGTCAGTTACTGTTACGACCAAAAGACGGCTGAATACGAGTTTGCCGTGGAAATAAAACTGCTAATGACCAAAACAACATTTGCCCAACGACTGCATACGTTGCTGGTGGTGTTACAGTATGGGGTTTCTTCTCATACTGTTGTAAGGTGGGTATGCATATTCTGCAGGGTAACATGAACGGACAGACATAAACGGATTTGGTGCTTAGAAACATTGAAGTCCCTCATTTTGATAATCCTCCACTTGCTTCAAGACCCTTGTGCATGTACGACAATGCTAGACCACACAGGGCAAGGATTGTAACCGAGTACAAAGAGTACAAATAGCAAGAATCCATTGACACTATATTTTGGCCTTCCATGTCTCCAGACATGAACCCTATCGAACATGACTGGGATGCCATTGGCAGAAATCTCAATCGCAGAGATCCACCTTTGCAAAATCTTAGCGATTTAAGAAGCGCAATTGTTGCTGAATGGAATAAATTTGCTCAACTAAAGTTCAGAAGGCTTGTACAGAGTATGAGACTTCGTGTTATGGAACTGTACCGGAAGAGAGGGTGTTACACATCCTATTGACTCAAATATTGACATCAAATTTGCCGAACATACCAAAGATTAATTGTAGAGACTTTTAATGATAATGGGTGATTAATTGTTGTAAAAAAATAAAATCACAGTGAAACTTAAATTCCGTTTCTGATTTGTGTAATTTTCACTATTTCTATGAACGCAAATTTCAAATGCATAGAACCTGCATACGTGAACAAACTTAAGTCTACGGTTTGTTTATGGTATATGTTAGCAAAATTGCTACATGAATATTTTCTCTTTTTCGAGGATTAACTGATTTTTTTAAATGAAAAAAAAAATCGATGCAATTAAAATAGGTGGTGCTTAACTTTTGGCGGACTGTATATGACATAGACAAAATCTCTCTGTTCTTACTCTTCTACATCTATAATCTGGATAATGTACGACAAAGGTGACCTCAATTATGCTGCACTCTTGACTTACAATTACGACATAGTTGATCTATTGTACAAAGTTCATTGTTTCGAAATAAAAAATAAAATAAATACCTTAAAAGTGTTAAGACGGTAGAAAGGCTCCTTAATAAAAGTGGGGATTTTTTTTCTATTTTTTTCAGTTTTTTTTTTTTATCCTGGATCAGTCCCTTAGCTAAATCCAATTAAGAAGTTAATCATTTTTTCTTCCAATTTCAGAAAAAAAGGATAAGAACATCTAGAAATTTAAGAATCGATTTAGAATTTTTTTTGTGCTCCATGGAATCTATTACTCCTTTTTAAATATGAAGTCCTGTTTAGTGAATATTTAAGGACCGAATCGAATGCGAATGTATGTTCTAACGCAAAGAAAATAAATAAGATGCATATCAATTATAGACCTTGTTTAGATGCGTGGAATACAGTTGAAAAATAGAGGATGTAAAATGAAAATAATGAAGAATTGTACGTTTTCAGTTTGATTTGTCTATTCTTAATCAATTTACGAGATTTGAACATCGATAAAGTACTGTCGCCTTTATTTGCTTTTTCCAATAAACATTGACTCGTAATTTAGACGGCAACCAAACGATGAAAATAAACAAAGGACATCTAGAGGACAACATACAGTTTTCAACAATAGACAGGTGTCTGAAAAATATTTGTAGCTCTAAATCTTCCTGCATTTATATAAACATTCTCAACAAATTCAACATAATCAATAAAAGATCTGCCATTAAAACTCAATTATAAAAGAAAGTGACAGTGACAATGAGAAAAAATATTACAAATGAAAAATATATAATTTAAAAGTAACTGACCTTTTTCCACCTGGCTCGTCCTGAACATGCATGAAATATTTGCCACTGGACGTTAAGCAACCAGCACTCAATCAATCCACCTGGTCACCGTCCTGGTGGCGTATTTTCCTTTTTATATATAAGAGAACGTTTTCGGGGCCGTGGACTGACAATGTCGTTTGCATATAAAATTATGTTTGCTTCAAAATAGTATCTCCAAAACGTTCACGTAAATTGATAAAGTCATTTGTTTAGACGGTTATAGAACAATCAAATTGATAAATGTTTGTTATTTTGGTGTCTTCCTCCTATTCCCACTTTTTAAAATCACTATTCCTTCTATTCCCACATGAAAATAACAATAGATGTTTTGATAAATAATTTGTTTTTATAACAATCAAGGTTAATTAATAATTGACCTAAGATTTACCTGTATTTTTTTAAAAGAACACATATTTCTTTCACTGTTTAAGTATATTTTGAAAAAAAAAATTAATCCACTGTTTATTTGTAGCATGTTTTTTTTTTCTTATTCAAAGAATTACCTTAAAATAAAGAATAAATCAGATAAACAAAAGTACGATTAAAAAATCTTTGAATTTGTAAACCTAAATTTCTATTTTAATCGGAAAGCACAAGTACAAGAGGCCATAAAAAAAAAGAACGGTCAGCTAAAATCCGAAAGTTTAATGAAAAATGTATAAACGCAAAAAATAAAATGAAAGGGTTTTGGAATTTCCTTAAAATAAAACGAACCGATATAGGACATATAGAGATTAATGATCCACATGATTTTGATAAAATATAAACGGCTACGGATGAGAGAAATAATGCCCTTTCCCACCATTTTAGCTCCATAGGTTCCTTTCAAAATGAAAATGGTGAACTTGAAAAAGAAGTTAAAAACCTAATAATAAATATTGACGAAAATTTATTAATATCAGATTCTCCCCTATCGGTTACTTTCGACGAAAAGAAAATTTCACAGACTTTATACATTTCACACAATGGTTGAAGGTGCAATGTATCCACTGGTACACAGTTTAATTGCAGCCAAGAGCGAACTAGTACAAAAAAAATGTATACACAAGGTTCCTGACTTTACTCAAAGATGTTTGTTTTTTCCATTATACACAATGCATCTGGAGAAAAGCACAAGGAGCGGGGATTCGGGTTCCATACAAGAAAGACAACAACATTCATCAAATAGAACGCCGTGCCGCTGTCCTTCCACTTTTACCTACTGCTGAGGTCGAAGATGTGTGGTTCAATGCCCTAATCGACATAGATCAGATTGATACTAACAGCAACTACACGCCCTTTACAGACTATGTAACAAAATACTGATGAGACCATTACACAACACAGGGACTGAGGACTACACATCATCTAGAGGGATGGCAAAGCAAGCTGATAAAACATGTCCAGCACCCACATCCAAACATCTTTAAACTCATAAAAGTACTGAAACATGAGGAAGCTAATCCCTGACCATGATCCAGTATGCAGCCGATGGGAAGAGAGTGGCCCAAAAACGAAAGTATGTCGAAATCAACAACAGATTAGAAGAGCTTATGGATAGATATTGCAACTAGGAAGTTACAACAGTACAGTTTGGTGATGCAGCCTCCCACCTTATTCGCGTTGAATAGATTATTAAACATTAATAGACTTATATACAGTGAATTTCTAATGTGTGTGCTACAATGTGTGGTTTGTTTTAGTGCTGTTAACTTGTATTGTGTGTTTCATATTATAATGCTTGCTTGAATCTACTGTTGAATTTGTGTTATAAAAGAAATAAAATAAATTTACTTATATTTGTTTCCATTTCTTTCATATTAATTTGAATTAAAAACACAGAATTTAACACATACAAAAATAACCTTTAACCTATCAAAAAAACACTTGTCAATTGAAAGTTGATTTAACAATGTGTATACAGTATAATCCTTTGTTTGCACAAGTTTTCCCCCTATTCCCACATGAAATTTTAACTTTTCTTACCAAATTTATAAAAAGTGGGAATAGGAGGAATGAACCGTTATTTTGCACAGCTCGGTGACCCGTTAATCCGAACTCCTCAAGTCGTTCTGGTCAAGTAGGGTACTGACTTGATTGTTCAATAACTGTTACTTACATGTAGAATATCATGTTAAATTATGATTCCGAAACAACTAGCTGATTCAAGCAGGTGTCGAATTGACTGGGTATCGAATTTACTATACTGGATCCCGATTTTTCCAGGTGCGAATTTACCTGAGGCCAAATTGACTACAACTATACAATTTGTTGATATACAGTGTATATTTATAATTATATGCAAGAAGAAACACTATAAAAGAAGCAATCAGAAATGTCGTCTTTAGTTAATACATGGGTTCCATTTTCTAGAGAACCGACAAAGAAAATAGATGTTAACAAAAAATATGAGGTAAATAAAAAGTATTTATATATATATATGTATAGATCAATCTGTGTATTCAGTTGTCGCGTTAAAAACAGTTTTACGGGTGATTCATCCATGACCAAGTCACAAAATGCAAATTCACATTTGACAAACACAATTCATACACAGTAACAAAAATAAAATTGAATTGAATAAATATCAATACACTACATGATCGCAGAAAATGTTAAATTGCTGATAAATATTAATTCAGGTCTATTGAGGTGAACCTGTATGTATAATAATATATTAATTATTATAAATAGATAAATTATTATTCAGCTGTGGGTTCTTTATAAATTCTAAATATGTATAAAAATAAGGAGATGAGGTATGATTGCTAATGAGACAACTATCCACCAAAATTCAAATGAAATGGATGTAAGCAATGATTGGCAACCGCACGGCCTTCAACAAAACCCATACCGTATAGTCGGCTATAAAAAGCCCCGACATAAAAAATATGAAACAATTCAATGGAGAAAACTAACGGCCAAATTTATATAACAAACCAATTTACGAAAAACAAATATGACCGACATGAACCAACGCCAACCACTGAACTACAGGCTCTAGACTTGGGACAAGCACATCAAGAATGTGGCGGGGTTAAACATGTTTGTGAGCGCTCACCCTTCCCCTAACCTGGGACAGTGGTGAAACAGCACAACATAAGAACAAATTATAAAAATGAGTTGAAAAAGGCTTAACTCATCAGATCGATACAAAGCAAAACAATCAAACAAAATCACACAGGCAGGGTATTTATCCATCCCTCATCCCTAACAACAAAAAAGGGCACTAGTTCAAAGCCATAACAACTAATAATCATGTATCTTAGGCTAAAATATCAATCAGTACACATCCAACATCAAATGGATTTAGTGTAAAGACGTAATTAGCAGTCAGAGAAAAACATTACCTTGTGCAATGCCAAACTTAAGGTATCGACAGATTGTAGTACCGTTAAAGTGCATATGTGTATAACAAAACTATCTAGTATGATTTACTAATAACCAAATCAATATTTACAACAGTATTCAAAGATCTAATTACAGTGTTGAATTGGTAACCTTTTAGAATAAGTTTATTTAAAAGGATTGATAAGTTTACCCGGATCGTATATAAATTTCCGGGTCCGGTAAACAACATCATCGTAAAATTTAGGATGTGCTATTCCGTCTGAAATAAGTTTTTTATAGGTACAGCCAAACTTGCAAACCAAATCTTTGTATCTATGGAAGAATTTAGTAAAGGTTTTAAGTAATTTGTGGTAACGAAATCCCTGACTGAATGTGTTCTTTTTATATTTCTGAATTGTCTAATGTTAAAAATGATGTATTACAAAAATACTAATTGACATGCCTTTTTAAAATGTGTAAACATTATTTTGAGATTTTAATTGCCAGTCACATAAGTATGTATTATAAGGCAATGTACTGTGTATGGGCCTTTGCCGATTGTTATATATAATTGCGTTTGTGCTAATATAGATACTGTCCATTGTCTGTTGTCAATAATATAATACATGTATATAATTGCAGAAAATTGATATTTCAGGGTAAAGCCATGTTTTTTATCCTAAATTTCTGAAAACTGGAAAAATATCACATTTTGCTCCAACTCCCTAGAAAAAAAATCAGTCTTATTTCATATTGAAGTGAACTCATCTGCACTAGATATGAATATCAGTACCCATCAGTGATTGCAGAATTTGACATTTTCTACTGGAAAATATCAATCCACAGAAAATTAGTAATATAGAAATAAGGAGTTGTGGTATGATTGCCACAATTTTGTAATAAATAGATATTTTGTAAATTTATTATTTTGAAATCTAATTACAATAAATATATCAATTATTTTGAAATTAGATATGTTTAGGTAAAATCATGCATTTTTGGCTCACCTGACCCAAAGCTTTTAAAACAATCTTCTCCTCTGCCCAAACTCCATGGCCAATATGGCCACAATCATCATTGAGATATAAAAACTGTCAGACAACTTCTTATAGGAGTTATTGCCCTTAAATGACGAATATTGACAAATTTTTTTCTCACTTTTGCCTATTATCTTGAAAACTATAATAGATAGAAAAACATTAAAAAGCAAAAATGATCAGCAAGACAAGATCTACAAATACGTTATAATGCGTCATACAAATCTTGTCATAGAAAACTGTCCAGATATCGAATGTGATATACATGTTAACAGCTTTGTAACATTTGCGCCAAATTCTAACGTGACTCTGTGTGCGTTTTTCTCTAAAGACGATTAAATTATCTTTTTTAACTCTACTTGCCAAAAACATTATTTATTCATGCATGATTTGATCTTATAATTATTTCTCTAATTCTTTGGCAATTTTACCCTTTCTGGACACATTGATTAACAAAATTTAATCAACGTGTGGTTGCCGATGACCTCAGTAGATGATTGGCTAGGTTTAAAGATCACAGCCTTTGCCAGCTCTCTGGATGAATCGAAATGTCCTGACCAGTGTTAGAGAAATTTACATCTTTAAATATGTATGACGTAAAAATCCGGAATGTGGAAGACACTCGAAGGGGATTTTCTATTATCAAAAATGAAAATGTATTTGATAATCATTAGATGAACAAATTATTACATAGTTATACGTGGATTTTCGGCTTTATCCAATCTCGATAGTTAAATTATCGCATTTTAACTATCTCAATTGGATAGATGGATAATCCACTTGTAGCAATGTAAGAATCTATATTTATCATTTCTATTTTTACCAGAGTCGCTTCTTTTTGCATGGTAAACATGAACTATTTTTTGTTCATTGCAGTAAATATTTGAAAATAATTTTTTTTTTATTAAATATTTAGTAGTAAAAAAAGTTAATTATTTGTGTAATCAAAGACAATTGTACTGTATCAGCCATCCGTGATGATATTGATGTCAGTCACGATTGCAAAGGCTGATACCAGTAAACTCGAGCAGATCACATTGGATTATATTGGTGTCTCGGGTTGATATTGAAAAAGCCATATGATATTCTCTATTTATTAACATTAGCTGCCATGAGATAAAGAGATTTCCTGGTCAAATAAAAACCAATACTTTCACTTGTGAAATCAATTCTGTAATGTCTGACGTCATACAACAAAAGATGATGTCAAGGTGTGGTAAATGACCTTGTTGTTAACTTCTATATGTCATTTGGTCTCTGGTGGAAAGTTGTCTCATTGGCAATTATACCAAAAAATGAGAAATATATTGCATCAAACCAAGAAAAGCCACCGAGAAAGATATATTTCTACCTTTATATGTCAATGCAATAAAAAGAATGAACAATCTAAAAATTCAAGTATAAAAATATAATGAACATGAGACCATACAATAATGATATATACATATAATATATTCATTAACTACTATTGTATGTACAGAGATATGTAATATATGACAAATATATATGGATTCTCACATGGGTACAAATCGATTATCGGATTTATCCAATAAAGATAGTTAAATTAGCGAATTTTATAGTCCGAGCGCCTTCCACATTCCTGGAATGAGTTTCACTCAAAATACTACGACTAAAATTTATCGTAAGTATACTGAATTGTGTAAGACTTACGATCAACTTTGGTGGTAAGATTTTTTTGTGAAACTAATTCTTGATTTCTACATCAGTTGTCCAATTTCTCTGGCACTTGTTACAAAATGCAGCATATTTCTACTCATTCAGAGAGCTGATCAAGGTTATGACTTTTTAACTTAGCCAATCATTTACTGAGATCATCGGCAATCACACGTTGATTAAATGTTTTTAAACAGTGGGTCCAGAAAGGGTTTAATTGCCAAAGAATTAGAGAACACATTTTATTTTACTAGTAAGTGTACATTATATCTTATGATCTTTTTTTTCAGGAATGTGTTCAGACTTTAAACTCTTTGCAGAGCAATGAACAGACTCTAGAAAAGATTCAACAAGCACGTGAAAAACATGCACCTCTGTATGTTTCCAACATTATTAAATGGGCATCTAGAGTAGGAATGACCGTACGTAGATTTACAATTGGAGAGATCTTTACATTAATATGATGAAACATAGACTGGAAATGTTGCATAAGGAATCAATTAGTTTTCAAACATGATTTGAAAAGGGCAATATGTTATTCTCGATAAGGTCATGTCATCTTTAAAACTCTATTTTACACTATTACAGATGATATATACCCATATTCATTATATATCTGGTCTAAAAATATATATTTAACTGATATATCATGTCGAAAGGGATATTTGAAAAAGAAAAGGTTTCATCACAAGACTGATATACTTTGCAAAAATATATATGCCCCACCTGAACATGATGTATATGTTTAATTTCACTGAATATCAATAGAGATGGTTAAGTTATATATTTAACAAAGGATGAGGTACGATTTAGGGCTTATTTGGCCCTGTTAATTAATCGAAAATGAAATGATATATTAATTGGTTATATTTTTGATCCGCTTAATGTAGGTCTTCATTAAAATGACATTTTTATCTTTCAAATTGTCTTAATGACACAAATTTTCTGAAACGCCCTCCTTAGTTAAGATAACATTCTGGTCAAAGGCCCAGTGATCAACATGATCAATTTCTATTGGTTCCTCAAATATGTAGATTTATTGGAATAAATCCCGAGCTCGCCCCTTAAGTTTGAATAGCTCAGTAAATATGACCTTCTATTGATGGCTAAATTAAGGGGGAAATCATGTTAGATGTAGGGTCAATAGAGACAGCATCCCTAAAAAAACAAAAAAGGACATTAGTCTTTCAATTTCAGATGGATGACATAGATAGATTAAAGGTTATACATGTCAGTGGAACTAAAGGTAAAGGGTCAACATGCGCATACTGTGAGAGCATTCTACGACATCAGGGGTTCAAAACAGGATTTTACAGGTACATTATTTTATTCACGTTAAAATTTGATAATAGCAGATTGTTCCTTTAGTGAAAGAAAATAATGTTTATTACTATAAATATAGTGGTACCTCAGTCACCTTTTATTCATTTAGGATTAAAATTGAGAATGGAAATGGGGAATGTGTCAAAGAGACAACAACCCGACCATAGAGCAGACAACAGCCGAAGGCCACCAATGGGTCTTCAATGCAGCGAGAAACTCCCGCACCCGGTGGCGTCCTTCAGCTGGCCCCTGAACAAATATGTATACTAATTCAGTGATAATGGACGTCATACTAAACTCCAAATTATACACAAGAAACTAAAATTAAAAATGATACAAGACTAACAAAGGCCAGAGGCTCCTGACTTGGGACAGGCGCAAAAATGCGGCGGGGTTAAACATGTTTTTTGAGATCTCAACCCTCCCCCTATACCTCTAGCCAATGTAGAAAAAACAAACGTACAACAGTACGCACAGTAAAACTCAATTCAAGAGAAGTCCGAGTCCGATGTCAGAATAGGAAACAAAAGAAAATAAACAAAATGACAATAATACATAAATAACAACAGACTACTAGCAGTTACTGACATTCCAGCTCCAGACCTTAATTAAACTGATTGGAAGATTATGTCTTCATCATATGAATATCAGGATGATATTAATCTGATTCTATACTTGACACCTACCACCATAAGTTTCATAACAATACCACTGGTTGGCTACATCCCTAACCAACTCTACTTCTTTCTGGCTACACCCTTAACATAACCATATCTCTCTCGGGCTATATTTTTAACTGACCCCACCTTTGTCAAGCTATATCCATAACTTAATCCCATCTCTACACGGCTCTATCAGTATTACCCTTTCTATGTCTGACTCTTTCAAATCCTTACCCTTCCCCTACCTGACTACATCTCTAACATAACCTTAACTATGCCTAGCTATATCATTTAGCTTACAGTCTCTTTGCTAGACTCTATTAGTAATCTAACCGTATCTCTGTCTGGCTAAATCATAAGGCAAATCAACCTCTGCATGGCTGTATAATTAATATAATCCTATCATAATTGAGCTTTTTCATACAGAGATAAATAGATTTGACAAATGTTTGATGCATTTACCACTGTGGTTTTAATTGCATCTGTGCAAAAAGATTTGATTAGTTTCAAGAACTTATAATTCAATCAGCAACCTTGACTTATATTTAATCTCAATTTCTGGACCTTAGCATAAACCATAAAGCTTGTAATAGTTAACTATTCCAGAGTCTTATCCCTACCACTCATTACATAATAGGAACATGGATTGTTATAATAGTGCATCATTGAGAAGAATTTAGTGTGCAGTCTGTTTCTTTACATTGCATATTGACTTATACATGATTTAAAAACTACATTTTGTATTAATAAAGTATAAAGGCTAAACACTTGTATTTTAATGTCATTTGGTTTTATTATATTCTTTTACATATATATATCATAGTTGTGCAATGTACCATTTGTATAAGGGTATGGATGGGATTTACAGAATAGAGAATAATGAGGAAAAAGTACAAAACAAAGGGTCAATAAATGTAAAGAATAGACAAAAATAGGCAAAAAAAAAAGAAAAGAGAATAATGGCAAAATAAAGAAAGAATAGAGAAAAATGGTATAAAAATTAAAGAATAAAGAAATGATAGACCCCCATCCAGACCCTCTTGTATGTTTACGTTTACCACCTGTAACTGCACCCTGTTTAACTGCTTTCTTGAAATAAACATTTTTCAGTTCTCCTCATCTTGTCGAAGTAAGAGAGCGAATTCAAGTAAATGGACAGCCACTGTCTCGTGAAAAATTTGTATCTTATTTCTGGGATGTGTTCAACAAGCTAGATGCTACAAAGGTTAAACTTTGTATTTACATGATATATGTAGGAGCCAAATCTATATCCAAGTCCTGGCTGAAATATGTGTCCTGTGACGTCATCCAACTAAAACCAGAGTTGCCCTTGTTTATTCATACCGGTGTCGTTTTTACAATGTATACTTTTAATGTGACTACATGAAATTCAAATGTGTGCCCTTTGGTTCACAATTCCTTTGTAACTACAAAAATTGCATAAAAGAGGGACGAAAGATACCAGAGGGACAGTCAAACTCATAAATCGAAAACAAACTGACAACGCCATGGCCAAAAATAAAAAGACAAACAGACAAATAATAGTACAGATGACACAACATAGAAAACCAAAGACTAAGCAACACGAACCCCCACCAAAAACTGGGGGTGATCTCAGGTGCTCCGGAAGGGTAAGCAGATCCTGCTCCACATGTGGCACCCGTCGTGTTGCTTATGTTATTACAAATCCGGTAAATAGTCTAATTCGGTAAGTCACATTCGTGAAAAGGGAGGGTATTGTAGTTACAACATAAGGAACATATCCGATATCATCTGTGAAACGGTTATTCCATAACGGTCAACCAAATCGTGATGGCGTCCGTAAAATTTACGAAGGGATGACTTCAACTTCACCATTTGGAACTCTTGGTTTAATAGCTTCCTTGTGAGCAGCAATCCTCTATAAAGGAAATCATGATAGGAAACACGAGCCCGGGAATATCGTATCAATTGGTAGATATATACTCCGTATATATGCAGGCGCTGCTGGAATGTTGCTACATAGAAATGGGAAGTTCATAATTGGGGAAGCTGAAATCATCTCTTTTGTCGTAAAGTTTTGTTTTCAACCGACCCTCATTGTCAATTTCTAGATGTAAGTCAAGATATGAGACAGACTAAACTGTATCTGTAGTATCCTTTATCTCTAGTTCGATGGGATAGATTCGTTCAACATAGTCACCAAATTTTGTATTATTTAGTGAGAGAACATCATCTATATAGCGGAACGTAGAGTTACAGGATATTGCTAACTTCTTATCTTTCTTCCTAAGAAGTTTCTGTATGAAGTCAGCCTCATTATAATAAAGAAACAAGTCGGCAATAAGGGGGGCACAATTGGTTCCCATTGGAATTACGACAGTCTGTTGAAAAACACGTCCTCCAAACGTAACAAATATGTTGTCAATCAAGAAATCAAGCATTTTGATAATGTCAGTTTCAGAGAATTTTTGTTTGAATCAGAGTGATTCTTTACAAAGTAGGATTTATCCCTCCCCAAGACAAGATACTTGTATCTACGTTCGTCATTCTCTTTAATGAAACAAAGTAATACCAACTCTTTCAATTTGTCTTTTAGTTTGGAATGGGGAATACTTGTGTAAAGTGTAGAAAAGTCAAATGTTTTAATACTATTGCAAGATGAGAGAGTCTTAGATTGTATGTACTCTAAAAGATCTTTGAAATTTTTTAGTATCCACATCTGATTCACGAAAGTTTTACATTGTGACAAATATTTGATCATTGTACTCCTTATAGGAGGGGTATGATAAAAGCCATTATTAAAAGTATATAAAAAAGTGATAAAATGATTTACTGGTTATTGAGGTTGTTAGCTGCGGAACCGTAGCTCATGATAGGTCCTTGTGATATTTTTTGACAATTTGCGGACCATGCGGACCTAAATTGTCAAAAAATATCATAAGGACCTACGAGCTACGGTTCCGCAGCTATGATGTTGTAGTACAGAACTGTGATTGTTGGTTATCCTGTTGTTTACATAATGTACATATATTTACCTTTGAACTAATAACCAGTTGTTTATACTATAAAATCAAGAGGTGGTATTTTAATCCTCCTTTTCTTATGTCTCCGCAATTAAGTAGCAAGGGCATTTTAAAAGTGTTATCCTTGACTCTTTTGTTATTTTATCAGCTGGCGATAGGAATATTGATAAAAGACATACTACGTCATTTGGTCTCTGGTGGAGAGTTGTCTCATTGGCAATCATACCACACCTTCTTTTTTTATAAAAAAATATATATATAATAATTTGACTCTTGTCTAGTCAGTTAGTAATATAAAATCATATATGAAAGCAGTGCATCAACATACCACTACCAATATGTGCACTATATATATATGTTTAACAGGTACAAAATAATGATTCTATGCCAGCATACTTTGCTTTCCTTACCATAATGGCATACTATACTTTTCTGCACGAAGAAACAGATGTAGCTATAATAGAAGTTGGTATTGGAGGCCAGTATGATTATACTAATATGGTGAGGAAACCTGTAGTGTGTGGAGTTACTTCCCTTGGAATTGATCATGTTTCTAATTTGGGCAACACTCTTGAGAAGATTGCTTGGCATAAAGCTGGTATTTTCAAAGTTAGTACTATTTTAGTTTTTTTCATTGAAAATTATTTTTTATCCAATTTTATTTTAGCTCGAAACACATGCATTCCCATTATTACAAGTTAATAAAAAAAAAAGCAAAATATGAAATTTAGTTATTACCAAAGAAGTTCTACATCATGTTAATACAGTTCAAAGTTTTGAAATTGTCATTTCAGAAACAAACAATTGTTTGCGTATGCAGTATCTTAAGAGTATTGACACTTAATAAAGATATTGCTGATAGAAATTATCTTCCTAATAACATTTTGTTTTATTGTTTTTTTATGAATATATGTTTGTTTTGATAATATAAATATATAATGAATAATATATGACATCCTTGTTCTTTTTAACTTCATTGTAGCCTGGTGTCCCAGCATTTACATCCCCACAGTGTCCTGAAGCACTTAAAGTTCTGCATGAAAGAGCAAAGGAAAAGGGGGTTAGTATGTCTTGGTTTAAATTCTTTCTCCTGTTTCTGATGTAAAATGCCCTAAAGAAAAAAGAAATCATCAATGTTAAAAGTTTTGAATAATTTTATTTCATCTAGTAACAACAAAAAAATAATATCCCTAAAATTTTGATTTTGTGTTAAAGGTGTTAAGTATCTGTGAAGTTAGGTCTCCCCTGAATGTAAGACATAGGGCACCAAAGGAGTAAACTATAAATTGAAATAAAGATTTACATTCCAGAAGGTAGAAGAGCTGTTTAATTTAATTTGTTTGTGAATATGCTTATGTCTATTGTCGTTTCTTTTAAGGGTGTAGTTTAACCAAAAAATATTTGTTAAGGGTTTCCAGACCGACCCTTATTTTGAGCACTTACCATAAACAAAATTTGAGAAATTCTTCAAAAACTATCCACCAACAAGTCATTTATTGTAACCACTCACCCATAGCATAAACTATCCACCAACAAGTCATTTATTGTAACCACTCACCCATAGCATAAACTATCAACCAACAAGTCATTTATTGTAACCACTCACCCATAGCATAAACTATCCACCAACAAGTCATTTATTGTAACCATTAACCCATAGCATAAACTGGCCACCAACAAGTCATTTATTGTAACCACTCACCCATAGCATAAACTGGCCACCAACAAGTCATTTATTGTAACCATTAACCCATAGCATAAACTGTCCACCAACAAGTCATTTATTGTAACCACTCACCCATAGCATAAACTGTCCACCAACAAATCATTTATTGTAACCATTCACCGATAGCAAAAACTGTCCACCAACAATTCATTTATTGTAACCACTCACCCATAGCATAAACTGTCCACCAACAAGTCATTTATTGTAATCACTCACCCATAGCATAAACTGTCCACCAACAAGTCATTTATTGTAACCACTCACCCATAGCATTAACTGGCCACTAACAAGTCATTTATTGTAACCACTCACCCATAGCAAAAACTGGCCACCAACAAGTCATTTATTGTAACCACTCACCCATAGCATAAACTGGCCTCCAACAAGTCATTTATTGTAACCACTCACCCATAGCATAAACTGGCCACCAACAAGTCATTTATTGTAACCACTCACCCATAGCATAAACTGGCCACTAACAATTCATTTATTGTAACCACTCACCCATAGCATAAACTGGCCAAAATTGATAAATTAATTGAAACATTGTCATTTGCTTCATTTGCCAATTTTAAATGGTAGAAGTTTCAGTAAAGCAGTATGCTTGAAACCAAAGACGTCAACAATAAAGTATAATATAAATACAAGGGTAAACAAAATGGAAACCTTGTAAAAAATTCTTGCGCCCGAATTGCACCTCAGGACCCACCTACACCAGGAAGGCCCAATGTCAAAAACCCGAAAGCGGGATTCATAAATACCGAGTCACGTCAAAAGTCATTTGACCAAAAAAAAACCATAAAAGCACGAAGACAAACAAAGGAAAAACTGTACAGTAAATAAAAACATACTCAACTTCAGCTTCTCGAATTGAAAACTCAAGACCATCTTGTATTATTTGTAAAGTAGACACTAAATATTTATCTATTAGGTCTTGTTACTTTCAGATGAACTTTTTGAGAAAAGGGACTATACGTTCTTTGACAAAACCCTGGCTTATTAATTTTTTCACCCAGACACCGATGACGTTTTACAAAACTTAGTAGCAGCTGCAAGCTCTTGAATATCGTATGAGTTGAGAAATGTATACTCCCTACGCGGGTGAAGTTGGTATATTGCTATGGCAAGCCGTTCTTGTCAAAAATATGTTTAAACCATTTTTTCGAAAAAATTACACACTGAGAATTTAAAAAATCAAACTGAGATTTAAGAACCTTAAATAACACACTGAGAAATTGAAATTACACACTGAGAAATCGAAATTACACACTGAGATTTTATAATTACACACTGAGATTTAAAAATATGAAAAACACACACTGAGAATTTAAAAAAATTACACACTGAGATTTTAAAAAGACACACTGAGATGAAATAAATTGAAAAACACACACTGAGAATTGTTTATTACACAATGAGATTTCAAAAATACACACTGAGATTAATATGCAAATTACTAATGAATATTCATGAGATGAATAATTCAACAGATTAATATCTTGGTCTCCCGAACTCTTGTCATTATAATGAAATGCGGTTCCTACAACCAACATTCGTAATAAATTTCAAGACTTAACAAATTTTTTTGCTAACTCGTATTCATAAGTTTTTTTGCCTATAATTCAGATTATTACTAACAGCATATCGAGATTTTTGCTTAAAACTGTTTAAGCATGGTCCCTTTTCAAAAGTCTTTCAACTGTTACCCTGATTTCGCAAGGTAATCTTTTATATTTTGTTACGTATATATGCTATAATAGGCACTTGGGAAAAAAATTCACTGCATTGTTTGTATTTTTGCAGATTGTTCCAATGTTTTCTTATAATTTGAATAAAGTTTTTCACCATTTGGTTATATTTTGTAATGAGAGTAAGTGGGTATTTTTCTTGTTCTATTGGTCTTTAATAACGTAGTTTTTCTATACGTTGTATTTTTAATGTTTTTTATAAAACATTTAGCGCCATATTGAAGGACTAACGAGTTCTGTCCCCTAGTTGTTTTTAGTTGTTTTAAGCTTGTAATAGATTCAGATTAATTATGCTAATTAGATATGTGCGCACAAATCTCAGTGTGTAATTTTAAATTCTCAGTGTGTAATTTCAAATTCTCAGTGTGTGTTTTTCAGTTTATTTCTTCTCAGTGTGTCTTTTTGAAATCTCATTGTGTAATTTTCAATTCTCAGTGTGCAATTTTCAATTCTCAGTGTGTGTTTTTCATTTTTTGTAACCTCAGTGCGTTTTTATGAAATCTCAGTGTGTAAATTTTAATTCTCAGTGTGTGTTTTTAGGTTTTTTAATCTCAGTGTTTTTTTTTTAATTCTCAGTGTGTAAATTTTTCAAAAAATGGTTTAAACATAGTTTTGACGAGAACGGCTTGCCATAAATTGCTGCTTAGGTGAGGGAAAATTTATAATTTCAAAATTAGAATCGTCTCGTTTGTCATAGATTCTGGTACTGAGATGACCACTTTTGTCAAATTCTAGGTAAATGTCTAGAAATGGGACGGAGAAAGCTGTATATGCGACTGTCATACAAGTGAGCGGTTTAGCTAACTATAAAAACAGGTTTAATCCGCCATTTTCTACATAAGGAAATGCCTGTACTAAGTCAGAAATATGACAGTTGTTTTCCATTAAAATTTTGCTTGATGTGTTTGAGCTTTTAATTTTGCCATTTGATAAGGGACTTTCCGTTTTGAATTTTCCTTGGAGTTCGGTATTTTTGTTATTTTACGTTTGTCTGTAACTGTGGTTTCTTTAATCTGTACCGTAGTTCAGGAGGATATATAAATGGAATCCAATCAGAAAAGTTTTGATTGTTAATAATCCCTTCGTAAATTTTACGGACGCCATCACAAGTTGGTTGACCGTTATGGATTATCCGTTTCACAGATGATAGCGGATATGTTCCAAATGTCGTAACTATAATCCCTTCCCCTTTTCCCCGAATGTGACCTACCGAATTAGACTTATTTGTACTAACATGAGCAACACGACGGGTGCCACATGAGGGGCAGGATCTGCTTACCCTTCCAGAGCACATGAGATCACCCCAGTTTTTGGTGGGGTTCGTGTTGCTCAGTTTTTAGTTTTCTATGTTGTGTATTGTGTATTATTGTTTGTCTGTTTGTCTTTTTCTTTTTTAGCCATGGCGTTGTCAGTTTATTTTCGACTTATGAGTTTAAATGTCCCTTTGGTATCTTTCGCCTTTCTTTTAATGGAAAGAAAATCATCAATATGTCGTATGTGGAATTAAATGATCTAGCTTCTTTGATTTTCTTGTTTTTTTTACAAGTGTCTGAAGGAAGTCCGACTCATATGAAAATATGAAAAGGTCGACCAGGAGAGTTGCACAGTTGGTCCCCATAGGGATGCCGCTGGAAAATTCTACCTTCAAATTCAAAAAAATATGTTGTCAATGAGAAACTCTTGCATACTGATCACTTGTTCTTCGGTATAACATGTTTTATATTCGGGCTCATTTTTAACAAAATATGCAGAATTATACCCCAAATCAATAAATTTGTAGCGTATGGTACCAATTTTATGGAGGAAAGCATTGTGGATGTTTTGTTAGTTAAGGAATGTTCAGGCGAAACACATTTAACAATAACTTCTATGACAGTACTGATGTTCTTGGTCGTTCTTGATGTGTAACAATGTTCATGGATTTTGTGGTCTATTCAAATTCTCCACAATATAATTACTAGTAGTTATATTTAATTGTAACATTGGTAGTAAAAAACTGTACACCATTTAAAAATGTTATATATAATTAGGAATGGGTTACACCTGAGGAAGAATGAAAGTAAGAAATTTTGGTTTAAATAACGTTAACGATAAACATATTACTCCGTTTGACGCTAACGGTAGCTCAAAATACGATTTGACGACTGACAATAAAAAAATTAAGGCTCATCTGACGCTAACGGTAGTTTAAAGAGCGCGTTTTACTCTATACATTAAAGATCATTTCTACCCTCATAAATATTTCTAGTTATTGTCATCTGTGAATATTTGTACTGTCAGAGTAAATTGTTTAAAACTTTTAAACACCTTAAAAAATTAACTATTTGTTTTTTCAGTGCCATCTTAGAGTTGTTCCAGACTTTGCTTCCTACCAAAGACCAGGTGAGAAGTTCAAGCTAGGTATTGCTGGACATATGCAGAAGGTCAATGCTTCACTTGCTTTACAGCTAACAAGGGCATGGATGGAAACTCGCGGAATTCTAGAAGGTGATGATAAATTTATAGTAAAGTTAATTACCTAGCAGAGTTACTTATATCATGTTAAATGGAGATTATGACACTTAAGCTTGTAAGTTGAAAAATCCTTTATGTATGAAAAGTTTATAAGAAAGTTATAAAGGTACCTGTCTTAAAAAGAAAACGATCAGCTTATAGTGTTATCTGTTAGTGATTATTTGATAACAATGTTGGTATTTATCACATATATAGATCAACTTATCCAAGAATTCAAATATGGAAAAAAAAATTCAAAGAGTCACCGAGCAACACATTAATTCAGACACGAATGCAGGTAGCGCATGTATTAGTTATCAGTGTTGTTTCATACTGAGTTGAATACATTTTTGTATAATTTTGTATTTAAATTCTTGGATTTAGCTATTCTGTTTATCCCATTGACCTTTATTTATTTTAATGGAAATAAGTAGAAAATGCATTTATTTCTTTTTCATGCTCATGAATTAGTAATACAAATCGAAATAAATTATATTGAATTTGTTGTGGTTGAACATATGTATGTTATATCGATAGACTAAAAACAGAAAACACTTGAATATGAATTGTTAATACAGTTTTGTACTATCAAAATAATTTCAGAGGATGAATTGAATGGTGTGAATGCAGATGCTGTTAAAGGACAGGTTGATATAGGAGTAGCAAAGTCTTTCCCTTTGAACCAATCTGTAACAGACGGTCAGTTACTACAATTTACTTCACAATTTCACACAAAATATTTTATATTAGGGGGCCTAGGTGTTTGCTCTTAGTAGTTAGTCTACATTGATCATTAGCCTGTTGATACTGAAGTTGTGGGTTTTAACCCTCCCATGGCAAGGTGCATTCGACATAAATCATTTAAATTGCATAGGATTGCCAGTTTCCTGACCAAATGGGGGGGGGGGGGGGGTAGAATCTGTTTTAGCGGACCCCGGAAGTTGGAAGATGCACAATTTATGCGCATGACCGATAACCCCAATTTACGTTGCTATGCTAGAATATAAACAGCGGCCATTTTTGTTACCGCTTCAAAAGACGAAGATGCAAATGATTTTTTTTTAACTGGTGTAACTGAACAATTTAAAATAAATCTAAAGCACTTACCCATTTAAGCTTGAAAATCATCCAGACTAGAATTTAATGTGTTTGTTATTTCGTGTAGTACTCTGGGTTTTTTAGTTGCAGGTTGCGGTTCACTGATGGTGATAATTTCTGTCGTAATCGACAATGTTTGTTTTTGTTTTTCTGGATAATACACTTTTTTAATGAGGGTTATAAATGCTATGAAAGGGTCTTCAGAGCCGATTATATATTTCTTTCGTACACAATATTGACTGAAATAAGTATCATAAAGTGATTTTACAGTGCCGTATTTTGGTAGTGATTTTTTAAGTGCACGCCAGGTACTTTCAATGGTGTTTGTATGCGCTCCTGTTTCTGGGTCTACAAAATTTACGGAATGATTGACTTTCAAATGTTCAAATCCCTCTGAACCTAGACAATCATATGCTTTCCAACAGTCACTAATTATTGTTGTTCCTGGTTTTATATTGTCTTTTATTAATTTTAGTAATGTTTCTTTTGTTCGATTTTCCACTGTGGCAAAAAAACTTTTTTTGCTGTCTCTTTCAATACCTCCAAACACCCACTGACCTTCTACTTGACGCCCTTTGTTGTATTTTCTTTTCCTAAATTTACTTTCATCTATTTCAACAATTACGCTATCTCCTCCTATTTTTTTACTGTCTATTTTCAAAATTTCTATAAAGACTTCACGGCAATAGTTGTACCAATCTACGATTGTTTGGTTACAAATGGAAAGTTCATGCTTTACAAATTCTTGGTCTATTTTGTAAATCCAGAAATGCGTAATAAATAATATTTTTTTCCAAACTTAAATTATGTCCTTGAAACCAGGATCCGTTTCTGATAGAAACTTTTTTACTGCATTTTTTGTTGCTGCACTTCCAATAAAAAAATGTCGTTTGAAAAAGAACTGTCTTTTCTTAATCCAAAATGTCCATGGCTACACTTTTTACATACCTCTCCAGTTAAATCTAGAATTAATCCTATAGAAAAACACCACTGAATAATTTTCTCAACACTTTCACAAATAATAAACAAATCTTTTAACTTGATCGGCATTTCCGTATTTACATTGTAATGTTTGTAAACAAACACAGCTGATTTTACGTTACGGTTGACAATGACGTAACTTATTTCATGAATATTCATGACGTAGAGGTCACCGATAATGGAATATTTAGCACGTGATATACCTACCTGAGTAACGGAAGCGTGGACATTTTGTACACTTACCAAGACGTCTTTCTGTTAGATATTGTAATTCTAATTTAAAAAACTGTTTAAAACAACAGTTTTTTAAACAAAACTTCACCTGGGGCATTCGATTTTGACCTCATTTTTTTGATTTTTGGGCTATTTTCGTTTTTAACTTTTTGGCGCGACCAATCCCTATATACTAGTATTTACTATAGTTTCCCGTACTTTTTATGGGGTCCGCTAAAGTAGAAGTACTCCATATTGGGTTGTTCTCTCCGGGTAATTTAACATCATCAACCAATAATAATTACTATCCCTATAGATGCCATTTTAAATAGTTTAACCATATTTTTTTATTTGTAAATGCAAGATTTATCTTCATACATATCATCGTTATCATGTTCGAAATAACATTCTGTCAACATTCAGAAATAAACACTGGTACATGTATGTTCACATGTATTCCTCCTCACTTATTTCCTGAAACATTTGGATAAGTTATTAAATTAGTGATATCACATTTTCTGTAATGTAGTGAATTGGCTATCCACTAAAATAGCCACCATTTTGTAAATAATTCTTATTATGATCAGTTTCTTTGCAATTACACAGACTAATTACACAAATGTACTGTAAATCAACTAATTGTTCTTATACAAAAACACAAACAAATTTGGAAAATTAGGAAAATATAAACCGCTGCGAAAAAAGGCTAGAAAGGACTAAACGCAACTTTTTAAAAAGTATCCACTAATTTACATGAGGTGAAATTATTCAACGTCTTCATCAAGTAATTATTAAAGGAGTAAGTTTTCATTAAAATTAAATAGACACCCATGGCAATCTTTTTCATCAGAATAAATACTAGCCATAACACCATGGAACTTTCTCTTGTTATTTCTTCTTCTATTTTATTATTTCTTCTTTTATGTAATTTTAGGTTTAGTTGAATGTAAATGGCTTTGTAGAAATCAGACCATTAAGAAAAACAAGTTAACATACTATCTAGATGGTGCACATACCCTTGAAAGTATTCAGGTAAGGGAACACCTGAATTCTATAAATTTAACCAACTGGTCTTGGTAGAAGGTAAAAGATTTTAAATCATGTACGTTTATTCATTCAAAATTAGTCTTCTGATGAAACATTTGCAAACAGTACTTTTTTCAGTGACTTGAATTGCAACATGAATTGTAACCAAGTTTAAACATATAAGACCAAATGGCTGGAAGTGCATTCTTAAATTAAATTATCTATCCCCTCCTTTTCGTCTATGTTAATTTGTAAATTGACGAAAGCCTTCAATTCACTGTTTACAGCCATGGTGCAAGTCACTTGAAGCATAGCTCTCATTTCTGGTCTTAGTTTAGCTACAGGACTGACGGTACTATAGTATTTGGGGATGCCTGGCAGCCCTATTCCCATTCTAGTGGCTGCATTCCCATACGAAAAAAAATCACAAATCGTAGCATATGCAATTTTGAAGGTTGGATTTTTTTCGAGTCCGTTTCTGGGAAAATGCCCTAATCCGCCTCTTTCTCTTCTTAAATCAGAACCATCGAAGACACTCGCTGCACAATGTTTGGCATTGTCTTATTTAGCACTGTTGGTTTTCTTTATGTTTACAGTTGTTATTATATGAAAAGCAGAGCGAATATAAGATGAATAAATACAACAATTTTAACTATTTCTTGTTTATATGATGTATTACTTTGATCAATTAGTTTGTATTTAAGAGGTCTACTCCCCCTGATTCAAATCTAGCATGTCGACGGTCAAGAAAATTTTGCATAGATTTATTATTTTGAAATTATTTCCTATTGTTTATATTACTTCTGGAAGTGGCGGTTGTTAGTAAAAGTTATGTTTAATTGTCTGTGTTCTGCGTGATCTGCTGATGAACTGTTTGACTTGTTAATGCAAATTAAATAATAAATTTTGAAATTATAAAGAAAGAAAGGTTTTAACTCCCTCAGGCAAAGTTGACCTTAGATGAATTTGGCTATTTATTTTAGGTGTTTTTGTCATATAGCTCTTCAACTGTTTCGGTACTTATACATCCCTCGGATTTCAAATGTTTGGCTTTGAGCGTTCCTGGTGAAGGTAAATCCAGAAAAGCGCTTCGGACGCATAAAATTATTTAACGTGTTGTTTTCCATTTTTAAAAGAATACTTACATATGGTCATGAAGAGTCTTGGATACATGATTTCTTTATTAGTTGTTATTGGCTTTGAACTAGCTGTCAGTCACTGCGAGTACTCCCAGATCTGTACTTTGTGTCTTTTTTGTTGTGGGGATGTATAATATATACCCTGCCACGTCCTGTCTGTGTTTGTGTTACTTGTATTTCTGCTTTGCATCGATCTGATAAGTTAAGTCCTTTTCAACTAATTTTTATAGTTTTTTCATATGTTGTGCTGTTACACCACTGTCACAGGTTAGGGGAGGGTTCGGGAACCGCAAACATGTTTAACACCGCCGTATGTGCATGTCCCAAGTCAGGAGCCTGTAATTCAGTGGTTGTCGTTTGTTGCTGTATATCATATTTGTTTTTCGTTCATTGTTTTGTACATACTTCAGGCCGTTAGTTTTGTCGTTTGAATTGTTTTACATTTGTCATTTCGGGGTCTTTTATAGCTGACTATGCGGTATTGGTTTTGCTCATTGCTGAAGGCCTTATGGTGACCTATAGTTGTTAACTTCTATGACATTTGGTCTCTGGTGGATTGTTGTCTCAATGACAATTATACCACATCTTCTTATTATTATATATACTAGAAGCTTCTCTTTAATTTTTGGCAAATTTCGGTTGTTTTGATATTCCAAAATTGGTCCTAAATTCCCCATTTTGGGTGATATTATAACAGTTACTCTAGTTTGCTGTAACGGATTCTCATAATTTTTGGAAACAATGATGGAACTGATTAAACATAACAATAAAATAAAAATGAGAATGGAAACAGGGAATGTGTCAAAGAGAAAACAACCCGACCAAAGAGCAGAAGTCTACTTGATACTCATTATTATTTTTTTTTATTTCATTGTATATATCACATATTTCATTTCACATTTTGTGTCATAAACGTTGGTCAATTGCCACTCGCATATTTCTATTGTTGTTGTCAACTGCTAAATCATTATAAAATAATCAATGAGCATATATTCCATACAACATGATGGTAACAGGATTTGTATTGCTGGAGCAAATTTCCCAAAACTGGTTTATTGCAATACAAATTTCCTAATCTAATGGATGGGGGCCCAATTTGATAAAAAAGGTTAAAATCATTCCTGAGCTATATATGATGGTCCTTTTCTGTTATATTAGCTCTTTAAACTTTGTATTAGGCTTTGGATTTTCATTTATGTTTGCATAGTGTATCACCTAGGAGACACTTGTTGTCGAAATGCTCATCTGTTGCAGTTAAATTGGTACTGTTAGTTATTAATGATTTATAAATAAACTAGCTTGACCATGTCTAGTTAATGATAATTTTCTATCGTTTAAGTCATAAAGATTTCATGATTTTTTTCATTTAAATTTAAAACTATATGAAATGATTTTTTTCGGGTTAATTCCTGTAAAGTGTCAACTATGGAAAGATATTTTGACAATCTTCTTAATATTGCAGCAGTGTGTTGATTGGTTCCAAAAACATTCCGAAAGAGAAGCAAAAAACATCAGGTAATAAAATTCTCATAAATAATTAACACGCAGTACTATAATTTGTATGAGAATAGACAGAACAGTGAAAGAGAATACTAGTAGTAAGGGCTATTCCAAAATTAAATGTATGAGGGGTTGGAAGACATTTTCCCGCCAAGACCCACCCCATATATTTTTAAGTAGAAATTTAAGGCACGACTGTGTGAAAAAGTTGTTATGAATCCTGCTTTATTATTGATATAGGTGCCTCCCAACCCCCATTACAATTATTTCTGGGATAGTCCTAGGATAAGCAGGGTTGTTATGTTATTAAAGAATACTATCTAGACATGTGTGTAGTAGAGGTTGTTATAATAACTTTATCATATATCTCCATTTTTCCAGTGTAAAGTTTTAATACTCGCATATCACATTGACAAGTCATATAAGCTTGTTTTATCCTTTACTACTTTCAGCATATATGCTTGAGTCTGTTCATCATTATTTATACCAATATATGACATTTATACATTCGAGTATCCGTTTGGTATCTTTCGACTCTCTTTTACATATTTTATTTTACATTTTACACTTAGCTAAATTTTCGATTGTTGTACACAACATCAGCTGATTAAGCAGCTTTTAACAAGCTTTCAGACCGTTCAAAGGCATAGTGTTTCGTTTTCAACAAACTAATCAGCAAATTATATCATTGTTACAGAAAATATCCTCTCAACTTCTGCATTAGTGACTGGTAACACGTGGCTACTTTTGACAAAATGAGAAACCTTTTTCATGAACAAAAAAAAAAACAACAACAACAGTACAAATAAAACACACAAAAACAAAACAACAAAATGTACTTAAATTTGTTTACACTGGTCAAACATATGAAAATATTGTGCATTGCTCCAGCTAATGATAAACTCTCCAAGATTAATATATATATAACAAAGATACATGTTTTTATTTTTTTTTAACTTCTATTTCATTTGTAGTGGTAAAGTGGTTAAAATTCTGCTGTATAACACAAAAGGAGATAGAGATGTAACACGTCTTCTTAGACCACTCATGGTAAAGTATGATAATTATCAGTATACATTAGCAGTTAACACAGCAACTAACAGTTTATAGATATCTAGCTTGGTCAAGTTATGTTCTTGGAAAAGAGAGAAATGTTTTAGCGTCGTTCTATAAAAGAAAAAAAGGTATAAACAGCATGCAGCAAACAGGTACACTAAATGGTCCTGAAGTCTGTTAAACATTTGCACTGGGTCGATATCTCTGCTGGTGAACTGTTAGTCCTCGAGAAAATGACCAGCCCAGTAGCCAGTACTTCGGTAATGGCATGGCAATACAGATATTATGTTATTGAAATTTGCTGTTACATTATTTTGAAAATTATTTTAAATTGTCTCCCTCGTGCAAAACTCTGATTCCTTGTTCGGGCTTGGCTATACGTTTTGTCCTTATTGGTTTTATCAGCTCTTCAATTTTTGAATACAATTTGGCTTTTCAAAATTTGGCCTCGAGCATCACTGAAGAGACATTAATTGTCGAAATGCGCATCTATTGCAGTAAAATTTGTACCGTCAATATTATTGCCTTACTGTTGAAGTAGTCATGTTGTTTGTTGTGTTTCACAAATGATTTTAAATTTAATCCCTAGTCAAAATTATATCATTTAAGTAGAACATTCATCTATTATTAAAACATGTTTGAGTGCTAACAAGTTTAACCATCCACATTCTTAATGTGTCAATTCCGTACCAGGATCCTGTATAGTCTAGTGGTTGTTGACGGTAGCCATCTACAATAATTGTATTGGTTTTAATGTTGTAAGCTTTAATCAGGATGCTGCTTTAATAACATTTGAATTGTACCACATGTTGTAAATCTCTACCTAGATTCGGAAACGCTAACTGATCTAATCAAAATACACGGAAGATTTGACAAAAAACACACATTAAAACATAGTCACTTTGTTCATTGATTAATTGTTAATGCCGGAAGTTATGGTAAGCTTTCTGTGTTGTACCGGAACTGACTCGGTGAAAACGTGATATATTCCTGACTCTGACTAGCATTAAACATACCCCATATATTGACCTTAAAACTATAAGGAAGGAAACTCTAAAACATATTTTGTTTTGTCTAATCAATAATTCATCACAAAACAAATGTTCTATAAACCGTACTGTGACCTATGATTATTTATATCTTCTTCATTTGAACTCGAGTGGATAGTTGTCTCATTGTGGTTTTGTAGCACTATTCGGACTGATTGAACAACTGTCAGATGTTACTTCCAAAATCCCTCAAAAGCATGTTCCAAACAATCAAAAGGTAACTTATTGGCCGTGTTGGCTAATTAATCCAATAATTTCCACCCAGATATGGTAAAACTTTCTAGAATGTTTATTTAAATAAGTGCATCTAACTTTGTGTTTACAATTGAAGAATTTTTATTGTTTTTATAAATGGTGAAAATAAGTCATGTCTCAGCAACATTCTAAATGGATGTGTAAATATATTTTATTTGAAATAATTTTGATAGTTCCACAATTGTATATAATTCTGTAATTTTTAGTCATGTGGGTTTGATGCAGCGGTATTCTGTCCGAACATATCATACACAACATCATCAATAGCAGGTACATTTTGCACCATTGACTAGCACTAAACAGTCTATCAGATTGCACAAAACAACAATATTGATAAAATGTATATCATCCAGTGTCCAGGTCAAGGGATCACATTTCAGAATATAACTTTTGTTCTTTCTGGCTACTGATTTAAATTGACAAAAATAATAATAGGTGGATGCATAAATATTTAATCATAACTAATGGAGGAGTGTACAGCCTAAACAAAAAATCACTGTATAATAGCAGATTTATAATAAAGTAGCATACACGTGAAATTATTATTATGTTTGTAAGTTAAGTTTTATCAAGTTTATGTTGTAATACATACTCTATGTTTAAAAGATAAGATGCATGGATTACAGGCATTTCATAATATCTTTATATCTTAATTGAACAGTTCTGTTTCCTCTTATATATCCATTTTCCTACACTTAATAGTCAGACATTTCATTATCCACAGTATAGTTGATTCCTTTTATTCACAAATGGCAGACCTGTCATTTAAGATATGACTTACAGGAATTATCTTGGACATTCTTTAAATGAAGAAAGGATGGTGACTAAGAGTAAGCTACTTTTATGCCATTTGCAATTATCTAGCTCACCTTCCACACCATTTTATATCTTTTGTGTGTCTGCTTTTTTTAAAGGCTTAGCCAATAGTATATTTGGTAGTTCCGCAATTGTTCCTGTAATTAGAGATCCATTTTTTGAGTAATTACTCTCCTTTGGAAGAAAGTAAAATTTTATTGCTATTGAAGAGCAATGAAATACCAAATTTATTTGTAATGTGTGTAAACCTGACGTATTTGCTATTTTTTTTCATTCCATTTTATCCTTTTTTTATGCTCAAAATTTTTGATATCAATAGTTATGTTGTATTATAAAAATGGTTAAAACGCCTATATATCTCTAACAACTTGTCATGCTTTGCATGGACAGCAGCCCATTTTGTCCGGTAAAGAACTAGTCTACAACTGGCAAATGGAAACAACCTATGCTAAAAGTGTGCATCAAATCAGTCATTTGCAAAATTATTATTAAAACCAAACCTTGCATGCATCATGTTTAAAGGGTCTAAAATAATTTGTGAAGAACCAATCAGAACTGAACTTTGACAAAAAAAAATATATCATCCTCATTTAAGTACATTCTGTTATAAAACCAGGATACTGTGTCTTAATTCTGATTGATTCTAAAATGTTCATAAGAAATGATGAAAAGCTAGTGAAAAGCAGACTAACTGCTTTTAAACTTAAGGAGATTGGGATGGCCATCATTTACATTAGGCATGGATACAGGTGAACACTATATGCTCACTAGAGACTCTAGTCTGATAACAATAGATGTGAAAGATTAAAACAAAGTCAGCTATATATTAAATCCGTTAGTAGTATAGTCCAATTAAGATATATAAATCTTAAAAAAATTAATATTTACAAATCAGACTTTTAATTGCATTGCTTATTTTGCAGTTTATATTTATCCATTTAGTATACAAGCTATGACAATTAATTTCAGAATGTTTGATTTAGTAGTTAAAAGGCTTTTCTCTTTCGGACATATTATTTCTGCTCAATGATTGAATGTTCACTTTTTTAGACATCACTAATATGAACTTCTCTGTGGAAACCCAATTACAAAAATGTCAGCATATTATGGAAACATGGAAGCAACTTTCTCTTTCAAAAAGAAAGCATGGTGAGATTGAAGAAGTTATAGAAGTTCTGAATGGTACTAGTGCTATGAAAAAATCAAGATTGACAGCAGATTGTAACCTTAGTAACTTATCATCGGGTCATGTCAATAGTCAGTCACATGACAATGTGGACCAATCAAAACAGATTATTTACACTGCTTCATCTTCATCTTTAATTCATACAGATTCAATGCATGACTGCATACAGAGGCAACTTGCTTCTGATTGTGATAACCTTGTCGTAGACTTTCCATGTATTTATGATGCCCTTAGATGGGCATCGCACGGCAGGGACCAAAATTTGAAGGATGCTTGTAATTTTCCAGTTCAGATCCAGGGTGCAGAGCATGTACAGATATTAGTAACAGGTGGTATGCATCTAGTAGGAGGGGTACTGGGAATTGTTAGTGATGATTACACATAAATGTTAGTGATGATTACAAATAAATGTTAGTGATATATTTAAATTGAATGTTTTATGGTGCCGTATTGTTTCACAAGGGAAACTTACCCCTGACACAACTTAGGGAAGGGATAATCCATTTCCTAAGTTCCTTCAGTTTTCAACCTGTTTTGGGTAAGTTTTGAATATCAGCCCATGTCATCAATTACAAACAGTCATATATGAAAATTATTTTTTCCGTGTGCTCATCATTGATAGAAACAGCTACATGCAAAATTAAATTGTATTTGTTTACATTTAACACATTAATGATTGTGGTAAAGTTGAGGTCTTCAAATCCCCTGATTGAAACATTCAATATTTCTGCAAAAGTACTATCGAGGGATTAGTATATCTGTACGATGTTGACAATCATAAATTAATTTTAGAGCTGCAAAATAACAATCAAGCACTACTTCTAAAGTCATATTTTACCATTTATTACTGTGTATAGCCACTCATCAGGGTTCAATATTTTTGTATATATATGACAAAAAAATTAATCACAGGCGAAACGTTATTCCATATACCAATTGCCAGTTCAGGAAATTGACTATTAATTATAACTAAGCTATATTTTGCAACAGTTAAACAAATGGTGTTTGCAAAGAAATCGTTAATTTTTTTCAAGCATACTGTGAATTACAGAAATGTATGGAAACTAGATCTAAATGTACAAAAACAAAAGATATGGTAATTAGATAACGCAAAGTGCGACGGAACTTTGATTTCCATTTTTCTAGGGTAAACATGTAGAAGTATTCAGTCCTTAATCATATCTTGGTTTAATAAATAAATGTAATGGGAATATTTTAAAAGGGAATAGAAAACTAGTTAACCAAGCAAAAGCAGAATTAAGGTAGATTAACTGTATACCGCCATCTTGGATTGTAAAATAGCAGTTCACAAAAGATCTAGTTCTTTGTCAAAATTTGCAATTTTTGTGACAGATTGGCAATTAATAGGTTAGACTGTTTATTGGAATAAATAAAAATACGTGATATATTGTATTATTGAGACTGATTTATCAAATACCAAATATTTGTGTTTGTTCGAATGAAGTTGTCATCTTAGCCATTTAAGGGGAAATCCCTCAAATAGTAAAACTTTTTAAAAGGAATGATAGAGAAATTTTCAATATTTACCTGTAGCAAGAAAACAAGGTCAGTGACATCATTTTTTTTTTAATTTTCGTAAAGCATATTTGAAAACCTATCTTCTCATATTTTATTTCAAAATTCTATTTCATAGATTTTTTTTTATTTACAAAAAAGTTTTTTTTTTTTCATGAACAATCTATGCAAATTTGGGCAATTTTGCACGTCTTTTAGCTTAAGAAATAGCACGGTGACCCATACGTTTTATTATATTTTTCAAAAAAGCGTGGAAAAATCTACATTCTGGCAAAGTATAAGAAAATTCTATCTAAGGATATATATACCAATGATCCACCTTAAACAGCTTGTATAGAAATATTAGAAAGCAATGCAAGCCATTTCATTAGACTTGCAGCTCAATTTTTAATGCCATGCTATGGTAGAGCATATTTTATTGTACCGATGTATTATTTAGGGGTTCGAAAATCTGTAAATTTTAGAACAAGTTAATTTAAGTTTTCTTACGAAAATTATATGTTATATGGATAATTTGTTAGATTTCCTTTAGAAATAACAGTTAAGATTAGAATGGCATTATTCTGGATAGTATATTACATTACGAGAAATTAAGTAGTTATATATGTATGTATGTAAGTGTTTTGTTTAAAGTAAAATAGTGTTCATATCTACAAATGGTTAATTTTATAGAATCAATATCAATGTGTATGGCAATACATATGATTATGATTATAAATTTATTGGTAAACTTAACTGTTTTTTTAGACCAGTATATTCCAAATGACATCAAGATGTTCAATTATATTCTTAAAGAATATTTAAGACACGAAATAGAATATTTTTGTTTTGAAATTAATTTAAAATTTTTTTTTTTGGATAACACAAGAATCTGGATACCAAAATTAAGAAACTCTAACTTGGAGATTCATATTAAAACTGGACATTGGCATAATATTCCTGCGGAGGAACGACTATGTAATTTATACAGCTAAAGTACAGGAACGAATAGAACGGAAGTGTAGGCGACGGATTTCACTATCTATTTATATTTTCGTCTCAACTGACAAATATCATAGAAAAAATGATTCCTAGTTATAGTTTATAGTACGAAGGACATGTATCCAAGTAAAAACAGTTAGCAGACCAGCTATCTTATTTCAATGTTAATCTCTGTATATATAGATAGGTGTCATTTTCTATTAGAAAACTAAATAACTTATTTGATATATACCTTGCTTTGCACCATTTTGTAACTATTTGATTTATTATATTTCATGCTTATTATTGTATATCTACCACTAAATACACATACATGTGTCTAAGGGTTGGGTTTTTTTTTTATAAAATCTTGAAAATCTTGCATATTATTTTTTTGGTAAAAATAGGTCAATTATTGTTTGGAAAAACTTACTTTTTGTTTAAGAAATTACAAGTTTTGATAATCATCTTTTGTGCTTTGATGTCAACCTTTATTACAGAAGTTATTCTTTAATTGGAGTAAGCCTTGATTTTGTGTAGTTTAGGTAAAACACACTCAGTATAGACCATTAAATGCTTAGAGGAGGCTGTAAGCTGTGATGTGGTTATATGATTATCTACTATTTTACTCTGTTAAGTGTTTAGCGCAGTGCCCTGAATTTTTTATTCATAAGAACTTCCGTGTGAAATTTATGTCATACATTGTACCAACACAAAAGTATTGGCTGCTTCGTCGGCCAGTACGAACACAAACCGGTATTCAAGTAGACGTTCTTGATGTTCGTTTGTATTTCT